AAAGCATTGAATATTTACATTAAGGTTTTTTTTTTTTTATCTCTCCCTCTCTGAGGTGCGACGGGTGTCCTCGTGGCGCCTTTTAGTCTGGGCTGCAAATCTGGGCAGCTGTCCAAGTATCAGACTGAAAAGCACTTTTGTCTAGGATGTCAGGGCCATCTCAGGGTCAGTCTTACACACAGAGTCGCCTTCGGTCAGTCGTATTCACAACAATACTGACAAGTATTGGGTCCAATAAACTGAAGTAACAAACGGGTAACATGAGTAAAATATAGCAAATATGATAACTGAAATGAACATAACTTGAAAGACTACAGGTATAAGAATAAGACATACTTTAATCCTTTAACCCCCTGGTCTCCCACAAAGGAATAATTTTAGAATAAACTGGATAATTCTCTTTAACCTTAGAGAAACTCTTCTTTCTCTCCCACATATAAGGAACATTACCACCAATAGTCTTGAAAATAATTCTCCTAATTTGGGAAAGGCAGCTGTTTCTCCACACATAGTTTAATTTCAAGGAGGTTCACTCTGATAGTTTTGATAGATGTTTGGATTAAAACAGAATTATTTAGTTTAAATTTAGTGAGAAGCAGCAGTTTCTCTCTAAACAGGGTTTACCAAAAACTGAGATACTGCAATAAATCTTATGCCTTGCTTCAGACTGAAGAGACTTTGAGTGATTTATATTTATTTTTTTTAACCAGAAGATAAGGTGTGTACTTAACCTTCACTGGCCCAGGGCAAGTTCCACAACATACCAATGTAATATTTTCTTGCAATGAAATCAAAGTACTCAATATTTTGCCTGTAGCTAATGTGGCAGACATTTTTTCAGCTTCCTCCACCTCTGCAGAACAGGATATGTAACAAACAGGATATAAAATAGAAAAGGTTAAATTTACTACATCCTGTGTTCCATCTTCAGTGTCAAGTCAAGAATCTCTGTCATTATGCATAGCAAAATGAATCTTTCTGGCAGCTCTCAGCTTAAAAGACAGACATATTATTTACATAACACACAATTGTATAAGTCAATATAAAACTATGAGCAAATAAAAAGGGATGTATGGGACCTAATCAGGTCAGCAGCATGCTAAC